TTGCTGCTTGATATTGAAAATTTGTGTGTCTTACCATATTATTTGAATGTATTATCTTAATTATGAACACACTGGTTTGTAGTGCAAACCGTTTTACAGTTTACTGCATGTTGTTATTCTTCTCGTTATCTACCTATAGCGGCTAATGAACCGGAAGTCTCACCCATAGGCTTACTTCCACGTTGAAGAAAAAGGTGGATAGTACATTTGATTTGTCTCTGCTGTGTTTTGACCACCAGGATCACAGGTTAATAATACCAGATGACTAGACTAGACTTTGGATTACTCTCAAATCACACTGGAAAACACAAGAAACTGGTGAAAGCACAAGCTGACCTTTATCTGCTGTGGACAGCCGTGCATCATTCCTGGGTTCCTGAGACTGAGTCTCGTGCTCTCAGTGAATCAATCAGCCTCTGAGCTATTAACTGAGCGAATGTATTATCTTAATTATGAACACACTGGTTTGTAGTGCAAACCGTTTTACAGTTTACTGCATGTTGTTATTCTTCTCGTTATCTACCTATAGCGGCTAATGAACCGGAAGTCTCACCCATAGGCTTACTTCCGCGTTGAAGAAAAAGGTGGATAGTACATTTGATTTGTCTCTGCTGTGTTTTGACCACCAGGATCACAGGTTATTTATATCAGATGACTAGACTAGACTTTGGATCACTCTCAAATCACACTGGAAAACACAAGAAACTGGTGAAAGCACAAGCTGACCTTTATCTGCTGTGGACAGCCGTGCATCATTCCTGGGTTCCTGAGACTGAGTCTCGTGCTCTCAGTGAATCAATCAGCCTCTGAGCTATTAACTGAGCGGGTTCGTTTGTCTAGATGCTGTCTTCTGCTCAGTCAAACCGAAAGAGGTGCACAAGAAAATGAAATAATTACCCCCTTCCCAAAAGAAAATAACACACCTTGTAGAGAACCTGAGCGTTTAATTGGAGTTGGCTTCATTATTCCCACTGCGGTGAATAGACTGTCATTATTGAAGACGTCCTGCATTAACCTGCGCGGTTCACCCCTGCTCTTAATAACAGCTGCGCCCTTAAAGGGAACAAAACAGATGTCAAATGGAGCAGCAGGAAATGGAGGCTTTCCACAAGACATAATAATAATAATAACAATAACAATAATCACAAAGTGCAGCATGGACCGCTAAGGTGTAATTTCTAGAGACAGGTAGCTTTCCATAAGCCTGTTCAAAAGCTTTACTGTTTATGTGATGATTTTCATGAGCCTTTTTTGATATATTCTCTGTCCTGTCCAACAGAATAGACTATTATTCATTTTAGTCTAGTAATGTACACTTAAAAAAAATCACTCAGAAATTGCTACTGAATTTCACAATTAATTATAAAGAAACCAGAAGTAATGCATTGAATTAAACAGTAAGTTTTGAGGTAGAAAAACTGAAATAGTATTTTGTTGTAAAGCATGCTATAATAAACTTTGTTTTATTTATAACTGTTAAAAACTTTTAGGGCTGCACGATTAATCAAAATAAAACTGAAATCACCATCTTCCACCAAAATACCAAAATTATTTTGCTCTATATTTTATTTTTTGAAAAAAAAAAAGTTTCTTAATCTTACTGTTTTTACATTTGTATTATCCAGTAATATATATTCCAGTAATATTTCTAATTTTGGTTAATCATAATAATATATACCGCCGTTCAGAAGTTTGAGATCAGTACGATTTTTTATGTTTTTTACAGAAGTCTTTTCTACTCAAGGCTGCATTTTTTTGATCAGAAATACAGAAAAAACTGTAATATTGTGAAATATTCTTGCAATTTAAAATAATGGTTTTCTATTTTAGTATACTTTAAATTGTAATTTATTCTTGTGATCAAACCTGTATTTTCAGCATCATTACTCCAGTCTTCAGTGTCACATGATCTTCAGAAATCATTCTAATATGCTGATTTATTATCAATATTGGAGCCAGTTTTGCTGCTTAATATTTTTTGGAACCTGCGATACTTTTTTCAGGATTCTTTGATGAATAAAACGTTAAAAAGAACAGCATTTATTCAAAATATAAATATTTTGTAACAATATACACAAGCGTTCAAAAGTTTGGGGTCAGTGTTTTTCTTTCTTTTTTTTTCTTTTTGAAGGACCTGAATGCTTTTATTCAGCAAGGATGTGTTAAACTGATGAAAAGCGCTAACAAAGACTTATATTGTTAGAAAAGATTTCTATTTTAAATAAACGCTGTTCTTTTTAAAATTTATTCATCAAATAATCCTGAAAAAATGATCACAGGTTCCAAAAAAAAAAATGAAGCAGCAAAACAGTTTCCAGCGCTGATAATAAATCAGCATATTAGAATGATTTCTGAAGATCATGTGACACGTTATTATCAATATTGGAGCCAGTTTTGCTGCTTAATATTTTTTGGAACCTGCGATACTTTTTTCAGGATTCTTTGATGAATAAAACGTTAAAAAGAACAGCATTTATTCAAAATATAAATATTTTGTAACAATATACACAAGCGTTCAAAAGTTTGGGGTCAGTGTTTTTCTTTCTTTTTTTTTCTTTTTGAAGGACCTGAATGCTTTTATTCAGCAAGGATGTGTTAAACTGATGAAAAGCGCTAACAAAGACTTATATTGTTAGAAAAGATTTCTATTTTAAATAAACGCTGTTCTTTAAAAAATTTATTCATCAAATAATCCTGAAAAAATTATCACAGGTTCCAAAAAAAAAAATGAAGCAGCAAAACAGTTTCCAGCGCTGATAATAAATCAGCCTATTAGAATGATTTCTGAAGATCATGTGACACGTTATACTGGAGTAATGATGCTGAAAATACAGCTTTGATCACAGAAATAAATTATAGTTTAAAGTATATTAAAATAGGAAACCATTATTATATATACAGTATATAATCCATCCATCCATTCGAGTCCATTCACAAACTTGAATGATTTTAATGCTTTTCCTTTAAAAAAATGTTAATTACGTAATAAGTGTACAGAGCTTCCCAGATGCTTTTGTCATGAAGAAGAAATTGTAATACAAGTAAACATTATCTGTCATTATCTGTTGGAGCAGGTAGTACATTTTCCATAATTTATTTTTGATCTATCAGTAAAATATTTGACTGCATTGTTTTTGTAATGTGACTTTTTAATGTGATGCATCTGTCTCTCCTGAAATCCTCACTCCCGTCTTTCTCAGCGCTGCTTTAAAACTTTTACACTGTTTGTAAAGTAAGGAAGCACAGTTGACCAGATACCTTATGTTTTACAGTATCTGACGAAAAACATTCTTAATTAGTTAGCATGTTTTTAAAAATGGCCAATGTCAAATTTTAGTTAACATGCACAAAAAATGGTTTACACCAAACCAAACTGAACCAAATCAGATTTGTTTGCAATCTCATATGTGACACTGCAGCACAAAAGCAGTGTTAAGTCGCTGGGGTATATTTGTAGCAATAGCCAACAATACATTGTATGGGTCAAAATTATAAATTTTTCTTTTATGCCAAAAATCATTAGGATATTAAGTAAAGATCATGTTCCATGAAGATATTTTGTAAATTTCCTACTGTAAATATATCAAAACTTAATTTTTGATTAGTTATATGCATTGCTAAGAACTTCATTTGGACAACTTTAAAGATGATTTTCTCAATATTTAGATTTTTTTGCACCCTCAGATTCCAGATTTTCAAATAGTTGTATCTCAGCCTAATATTGTCCGATCCTAACAAACCATACATCAATGGAAAGCTCATTTATTCAGCTTTCAGATATGATGACATATAAATCTAAATTTTGAAAAATTGACACTTAAGACTGGTTTTGTGGTCCAGGGTCACCTTTAGCACTGTATGGAACAGCTGTCAGTCTAAACATGAGATTTCAAGTCCTTTTTTGAAGATTTGGAACTTTTTACGTTGTTGCAATGTTTTCTTGTGATTCTGTCTGAGTTTGTGCTTTTCTTTCGTTAGATGGTGTGTGTGTGAAATAAAATCTCCTCTCTCTGATATAAGACACAGTGCTGCTGTTTTCTTCACACAGTGCTGTTTACCAGCATGCCTACAGGACAAATGAACAAGTCTTTGATCGCGATTTGTCCAAATGTGTTGGACAGCATAGAAGAAATGCATGATTTTTAACTTGCTCTTTTCTGCTTGAGGGTTTTGTATCACACTTTCACTCATGAATAATTAAAAAGTCTACTGATGCAAACTGGAGTTTGGAAGATTTGCACACTGTTTATACTGACTTTACTGGCAAAGCGCAAAATCAAAGCATTCAATTAGAAAACATAATTCTGTGTGTCTCAACTTTTATCTCACATGCTGTAATTGGAGTAATACTGCCATACTTTTCCTGTTGAGGGTACCTTTTCAAAAGGTACACTTTTGTACCTTTTAAGTACTAATATGTACTAACATATGCATTTAAAGTACCAATATGGACCCTTTAGGTACAAATGTGTACCTTTTGATAATGTACCATCCCAGTGACAAGCTTTGTACCTTTTTTTCTGAGAGTGTATATGTGACCCTGGAGCACAAAAGCAGTGTTAAGTCGCTGGGGTATATTTGTAGCAATAGCCAACAATACATTGTATGGGTCAAAATGATTGATTTTTCTTTTATGCCAAAAATCATTAGGATATTAAGTAAAGATCATGTTCCATGAAGATATTTTGTAAATGTCCTACCGTAAATATATCAAAACTTAATTTTTGATTAGTAATATGCATTGCTAAGAACTTCATTTGGACAACTTTAAAGATGATTTTCTCAATATTTAGATTTTTTTTGCACCCTCAGATTCCAGATTTTGTATCATGCATGGCTTCACACTAAGAGAACATCAGAATCTGTGACCGTTATTTCTGATAGAGACAGCAGTTTTTCATTATTTCAGTTGTATCTGAAAGGGAATAGACTGCTCAGTTCTTGTGTGTCATGCTTGAGTATGGGCTGTGGATCCGATCAGTCTCTCGCTCTGTCCTCAGGTCATGCTGGCGGCGTCCTATTGGTCTCTACTGGCTCCTGCTATCGAGATGGCAGAGGATTCTGGGAGATATGGCGACTTTGCCTTCGTGCCTGTCGCTGTGGGTTTTGCACTCGGGGCTCTGTTCGTTTATATCGCCGACCTGATGATGCCCGTTCTGGTGAGTTGTAAAATCATTTCCCATATGCATTAGAAACAGGTCTTTGAGTAGTATTATTAAAAAGGTTCTGCAAATCTGCCAATCCATTCTAAACATCAGTTTTATAATTCATGTCATCAATCAGAAGTGTTCACAGAAATCCCTTTGCATGCATTTAAATGGTTTAGTTTAATATAGGTACTCAAGTAAATATAGTATATATATATATATATATATATATATTAGTAAATATTGGTACATTTTATTTTAGTGTCAAACTTTGTTGGCTATTAAAGTAGATTTTTATTTTATTTTAGTTGCATTTTAACTTGTTTAATCTACATTGCAGGTATTGTTATTAATTTATGTTATTTATTTAGTATTTGTAATAATCTGTCATATTCTTACTCATTACGTGGATTGGTGTGATATTGATAAGAATGCTGCAGCGCATTATAATAATTTGATTGTTCCTTCAGCCTTTTCCTGACTTGAAATTTGGAAAATATCCAACAAAATTATGAAGATATGCAAATAATTAAGGTTCTTGTGACCGTCGTTCCTTGCTGTGGTGAAAACTGCTCACTGGATCACAGTCAGATGAGTGTGTTTCACAGTGACAGTATTTTAAATGGTCATTTCATATTCAGTGCAATTCTCAGGTTAAGAGTTGTTATCTTGAAAACGGGACATTTTGAATTTGACTAATTTATCTAAATCCTGCTGGCAAGTTTGGAATAATTACGTTTTTTCTTAAAATGTTTTTGAAAGAAGTCTCCTCTGCTCACCAAGGCTGCATTTATTTGATCAAAAATACAGTAAAAACAGTAAAATTGTGAAATATTTTTACAATTTCAAATAGCTGTTCTCTATGTGAATATATTGTAAAATGTAATTTATTTCTGTGATCAAAGCTGAATTTTTGACATCATTACTCCAGTCTTCAGTGTCACATGATCCTGGTGCTTCATGTTTTTTTGTGGAAACGTGATACACCTCCAGTCAAAAGTTTGGGGTGAGTAAGATTTAAAAGGAAAGAAAAATAAATTAATACATTTATCCAGCAAGGATGCATTAAATTGATCAAAAGTGACAGTAAAGACATTTATAATGTTACAAAAGATTTCTGTTTCAAATAAATGCTGTTCTTTTGAACATTCTATTCATCTGTGAATCCTGAAACATAAAATGTATCACAGTTTCCACAAAAATATTAAGTGTTTTCAACACTGATAATAATCAGAAATGTTTCTTGAGCAGCAAATCAGCATATTAGAATGATTTCTGAAGATCATGTGACACTGAAGACTGGAGTAATGATGCTGAAAATACAGCTTTGATCACAATATATGTGACCCTGGAGCACAAAATCAGTCTTAAAGGTGCAGTAGGAGATCTTGGAAAATGTTAACTTTAGCCTGATAGCACTGAAAGCCAACGTCCCACCCTCCCTGCAATCGCCGTCCAAAGCCACGCCCCCATAGCTCACTTCTAACGAGCTGGTTATCTGAATCGGGTGTGTTAAGCGAGACATGCAGAATATGCAGAGCGGGGTGCGTGAGGACAGGAATTGGGAAGCGCTGGGCTACATCATGTGTCATTCACCAGCGAGAAAACTTTAAAAGTACTACAATACCAGGAAGGAAGATCGGGTTGTTGATGTTTGTCTGCCATTCTTGCTCTGTCTGCAC